ATGGCCGTCGTGAACAATCGTCGTTGCGTGAAGGTTCGTCGCTATCGACTTGATCGGATGAGATTAACGTGTGGCGGGAACAACAACATCAACAACAACTGCAACAAAAGTTTCCCGAGACTATCACAAAAGAGCGGCAAAAAAGTGAACAACCTCATCTCGTGGAATGTTAAGGTCGCTGCCGAATACAAGTCAGGCAAGAGTCTTTAGGATGACAGAGTTTCCAGTGAATCGTTTGAAAAATGAAAACAAAGAGATGAGGAAATTACAAAGAAAATTATTGATATTTGATGAGACCGACAAAACAAAGAAAAGTTTTTAAAGGTATTAAATGAATTAAACCTGCAGATATTGAGCGATTTTGTGAATTAAGTGGATATTCTTGAATTTACTTCTTTCTTTCTCCAAACTTCTTTCGTTCTTTCTCAATTCATAACGATTTCAAGATTTTCATTCATCTATCTATCTATCTATCTATCTATCTATCTATCTATCTATCTATCTATCTCAGTCAATTCATATCTATCTATCTATCTATCTATCTATCTATCTATCTATCTATCTATCTATCTATCTCAGTCAATTCATATCTATCTATCTATCTATCTATCTATCTATCTATCTATCTATCTATCTATCATAACAATTCATATTTAATAAAAAACTTTCTGTCTAAAAAATTCATATCTACTAAAACGCTTTCTTTCAACCTATCTATCTATCTATCTATCTATCTATCTATCTATCTATCTATCTATGAGGAAAACAGTCCGAACAATGTAAATAGTATAAATACCTCATCTCAGAAATATAGACATCTATCTATCTATCTATCTATCTATCTATCTATCTGACTTTGTATTAACCAATTTATCTGTCTTAAACTATAAATTATATATTTAGATACCTTCAAATATGTCTCTGTATAAAAATCTGTCTATCTGTATCTATGTATATCTAATTCTCTTCAAATATATCTAGCTATCAAAACTATTCATATCTATTAAAATCTATCTGCCTTAGTCTTTTTCTTTCTTTCTTTCTTTCTTTCGCTACCGTTTCATATCTATCTATCTATCTATCTATCCATCTATCTATCTATCTACAAAAACTCTATTTTTCTCCCTCTCTATCTATCTGTTTCAGGCTGTTCATATCTATCAATATATCTGTGTTTTTTCTTTTATGTTGCATTTATTAAAGAAACCTTCTCAACTTTGAATTAAGTCCGAAGAACTTTTCCGCCGAAAAGTCGTCAAAAATGAAGTCTTCATGCCAAAACATATGACGTAGACATTCACGTAAACATTACACAGTCCATCTTTGTCCATCTCCCCTTCTCTCTCTCCATACACACACAGACATATATATTTATATATATATATATATATTCATTAAAGACATTTTTATGTTTAACGTTCTTTTTTTTATAGTATAGTATATTTTTATAGTATTTAAGTAAATGCTCTGTTTATAATAAACAGTATTAAATAACATTTACCGGCCTGAATGAATGAGAAATTTTCATAGAAAATATTCGTCCTTTTGACAGGATTCGAACCTGCATCCTATACGGAACCGTCATTTAATCTAACCGACTCGGCCAAAGGAGCGTTCGGTAGGCAAGGTCGAATTTACTGTTTATAAACTTCAATCTTCCATGAATCTCGTACATTCATAACTGCTCTGGCGTATCAAATGTAAACAAATGACGTCATATATTAAGAAATGGACAAAAAGTCCGACAATTTATTTATTAAAGACATTTTTATGTTTAACGTTCTTTTTTTTTATAGATACAAAATTATTTAAGTAAATGCTCTGTTTATAATAAACAGTATTAAATAACATTTACCGGCCTGAATGTCCGAGAAATTTTCATAGAAAATATTCGTCCTTTGACAGGATTCGAACCTACATTTGATACGCCAGAGCAGTTATGAATGTACGAGATTCATGGAAGATTGAAGTTTATAAGCAGTAAATTCGACCTTGCTTACCGAACGCTTTTTTGTGGAGACGAGTTAAGGCACGCCAGCGTAAATGACGGTTCCGTATAGGATGCAGGTTCGAATATATATATATATATATATATATATTTCAGTCTTTTCGTATTGATTTCTTTCAGTGTTTACATATCTATGTATTTCAGTCTTTTCATATTCATTTCACTATATAGTAAAGGTAACATATTCGTTGGTAGATAATCCAAGTGGATCCTAGTAATATAAAATATTAAAACTGATCCACAAAAAGAGCTCAATGTATTTATTGTCACAGAGCAAATAATTAATAAACAATAAAACCCAAAATCATTTCATTCTTTGGGGGAAAATAAGAAAAATTATAATGTTTACATTGGAATTTCCGCGGGGAAATGGAAACAGAAATTTTATACCAATAGACACTCATTTTCTAACCCTAAATTAAAACACCAGACAGCACTTTCAAAAAATTTTGGGATTTGAAGGAGAAAAGTTGGAAAATTATAGGTTCTGCGCGTACTCCTAATAGTCTTAGAGATTGTCGTGACTTATGATTAGTAGAAAAAAATTAGAATAATAAAATATAAAACGAAAACAAACTATTAAATTAGATAAATGAATTAGTGTTAAAATGTCGACATAAAAACAAATTCAAATTTCTATAATATTGATTTAACTTAATTAGCTGCAATATTTCCATAATCACTGCCCACTATCTCGAATATATAACTCATTCTAATTTCTATATTCCTCCTCTATAACCTCTTTACCTATATTAATTATAATTTATAAATTTTATTCTACTCTAAGATCTCCCCAACTCTCTTTCCTATTAATCCCTTGTATCCTTTTATCTATATATTTTAAAGTTATTTTTAAACGTCTTTTTATTCCTCTTTAAATTTTAAATTAATACTTCATTTTCATATAACCCCAAATTAATGTCATAAGGTTAATATTCGGGTTTAATTCTATAAAACGGCTTCCCTTTAAGTCAAATACCTTCCACCCTCCACTGACCCCTGTCTAGTACCTTTCGTCTGACTGAAACATAGAAATGAATAAATTCTTTGTTGGTTTTTCGACTTTTTTTTTTAGTTTTCACATTTAAATTTCTATTTCTGACACGAACTCAGTCCACACCGAGTTTGATAAAACAGACGACCGATATCTTGGTCTGCCGAAATAAGCTATTCTCCTATTGAGGTGATTTTGTATTTTATTATTTTATATATATATATATATATATATATATATATATATATATATATGTGTGTGTGTGTGTGTGTGTGTGTGTTTTCGACGAACACGAGGGAGTTGTTACCGATGCGATATTCCTGGGTCCTTCGAGAATTTCGGTTCTCTCAACTTCGTATTCTCTCCACCAAGCAATCTAATCAGGGTTGATCGGACCCTGATTCTCCCTCCAGCAATAGGCTTTTACCCCGAGCCAATGGCGTTTGAGTTCTGTTCGACCGCCATCTTTAGCACGAATTAAGCGCCAATTCCTTTCTTCTTTTTTTTATGTACTCTGTTCCCTTCAGAGGCGATCGTGGCTCTTCACTTCTTCCTATCCCTTGTAGCCTATTGCTTTTGCTACTTCTTGCAGATCCTGTTCTGTCATCCACTGGCTTAAGCCCGCTAAGTATGTCACGCGTTGCTTGCCCTTGTCCGTCTTTACCTTTATTCGTACTGTGAGTATCAGATTTTCCAAGCCTTCCTTTCTCATGACGTGTCCCAGAAGTTTCAGCTGCCTTTTCCTGATGTTAAGAATAAGTTTCCTCTTTGTTTGCATCGTTTCTAAAACCTCATTGTTGCTCACACGTTTGGTCCATGATATCCTTAGCAGGCTTCTCTGTTTCTCTCTATTCGCCCTGTGAGTATCAGATTCTCCAAACCCTCTTTTCTCATTACGTGTCCCAGAAAGTTCAGCTGCCTCTTTCTGATCTTAAGTATAAGTTTCCTCTTTGTTTTCATCCCCTCTAAAACCATATCGTTGCTCACACGCTCTGGCCATGATATCCTTAGCATCCTTCTGTAGAACCATACCTCCGTTGCCTCTCGTCTCTCTTCTTCATCTTTGACGAAACCGTCCAATATTCACTGCCTTAAAAGCATCGTAGAGCCAGGCCAGTACTTAGATGGGGGACCGCTTGGGAACACCTGGTACTGTAAGCCCCCAAAGTCCAACCCTTACCTCACAGTCGGTGGGGGGGTGTAAACGGTAGTGTCAGAGCTATGCCGCCCGGAACTTCGTTCCTGGTAGGGCCACCCAAGGCGGACAGGTCTGACACACACGCCGGCTAACAAGGGCTCTGGTGAAAATCCAAGGAGCGTCTGCATCGGTAACCGGCGGCTTCTGGTCGTTCCTGTCTCTGCGTCTGTGGGAACCCCGCGGCAAGCAAGAACGTTATCCGAGTAGGCCTGGGTACCCTACTTCTGTAATTTATCCCAAGAATCTTCTTCTCATAACAGGAAGAAGCCGGCTCAATCCGCCCAGGGTGAATGCCGCATCAGTACAGTACAGTACTGCCTTAAAGAAGGACAGGTGTAGTAGCTCAGGATTCTTTTCTTTGTTAACAACGAAATCCTCCTGTCTCGTAAGACTCTGCCTAGCTTTTGGAAGGCGTCATTGGCCATCCCAATACGTCTCCGGATCTCAGCGTCACACTTATCGTCCTCGGTCGAAACACTTGACAGATATTTAAATTTCTGCATCTGTTTAATTTTATTGTCCTCGGCCTAAGATCTCAGAGGCCACACTTATCGTCAACTGTCAGAACATTTCCCAGCTATTTAAATTTCCGACCAGGATTATAATGCATTGGCTGTAGTAAGTATTTTTTTTCTCATTTCAAGAAAGGTAATTGGTCTACTCTACTGTACTTTTCTTGATAAACCTTTTCTGCACTTACATCGCACACACACACAAACTTACACACTAACACATACAGAAAACTTACACAGAAAAAAACACAAAACGCATCCTTTTGCAAGTTATTTGAAAGAAAACGAATAATTACGTTATCATTTACTTTTTTTTCGTATTTTTCCACTGAAACATGACCCAGTGCACATGTAAGTACTTCGTATATCCATTCCACGAAATCGTTCCTTGCAGATTGACCATAGATTCTCGACTGGATTTAAATCAGGAGAGTTTCCGAGTCTATAGTATTTTAATTTTCTCACGGGTAAATCTTGCCAGTGTGTTCGTGCAGCGTTACAATTTTCATACTCTTCCTTGGAGTAACATCCATCGCAGACAGTGGCTGTAGGACAACTAATCGACAGTCGAGACAATAGTGTCGAGGTGTGATGAAAATCTGATGCAATCACGGATGACACCAATGTTTCAAGGCCAAACAAATTTCATTATACACCCCGAAAATAGATTCATATTACTGAACACCACTGAAAATGGCCTAATCTGAGGAAATATAGAAATCGAATACACCCTGTCAGTCCAGTGGGTCTAAAACTGACCGTATGCTGAAAGAAAGGAAACTAAAGCGGTTGTTTCAATTAATTTGCACAAGGGTTTATATAATGCTTTTCTAAATACCTTATGAGTATATCAGAGAAACTATACACGAAAATAAATTCATATTACTGCACACCACTGCAAATGACCTAATCTGAGGAAAAAATAGGAATCGATTACACCCTGTCACTCCCGTGGGTCAAAAACTGACCGTATGGTGAAAGAAAGGAAACTAAAGAGGTTGTTTCAATTAATTTGCACAATAGTTTATATAATGCTTTTGTAAATACTTTATGAGTACATTACAGGAACTATAGACGAAAATAGATTCATACTACTGCACACCACTGCAAATGACCTAATCTGTGGAAAAATAGAAATCGATTACACACTGTCACTTCAGTTTTTATAAAAAATGACCGTATGGTGAAAGAAAGGAAACTAAAGCGGTTGTTTCAATTAATTTGCACAAGGGTTTATATAATACTTTTGTAAATACCTTATGAGTATATCACAGAAACTATACACGAAAAATAGATTCATATTACTGCACACCACTGCAAATGACCTAATCTGAGGTAAAATAGAAATCGATTACACCCTGTCACTCCAGTGGGTCTAAAACTGACCGTATGGTGAAAGAAAGGAAACTAAAGCGGTTGTTTCAATTAATTTGCACA